ATGTACACAATAACAATCATTTAAACAACTAAAAGACACATTCTACAAGCCTGCCTTCTGGCCTCCAGCACACAGCCTTCCTCTTTCCATGAGTCTAGAGTCCTCAGCTGCTCCCTCTCTCCATGTCCTCATCTCTGCCTCCATCTCTGGCGTTGCTGCTTCTCTGGATAGGGTCCCACATTCCACTCATAGTCTTTTCCCTTGATGATCCTAAGGTCCTCTGTTCTTGCACTGTAAAATTAACTATTCATCATTTTTTTGTACAAAATTTCTACTTTTACAGTAGTGATTTTCACAGTCATGATAACAATTACTCACAACTAAATTATAAGAATCTTATCCCCATATCTTTTCACCATACTGGTCTAGATAAGGTGAAAAATATTCAGTATCTTTATTTTTCTAGATCAATTTAAATCAATAGCTTGGCATAATGGTCAAAGTAAGATTCTTGCCCCCCCCCCCCCCCCGCCCCGTATAAAATATTTCAAATCATGGAATTATTAGCAAAAATTTTATATCCTCTGTCAATACAGAATCCTGGTAATTGCAGTTAAAGTCTTTCTTGATTGTGCTAGGTTGCAGTGAATATCCTCTGGATTGTAACACAGAAGCAGAGTTGGCACATTTCCCATCGTGGGCAATAGTTCAGTCTTCTACTTTTACCTCTAAGGACTTGAAGAGACTACATTCCATAACTCCTCCAAAATGTTCATTTAGTTTTCATAAACTCTTAATGAAACAAGTATTATGAACTTGATTATCCATCTTTAGTATCTTTACATCTGTTCAGAATATTTTTGGGGATCATAAAAGTAGCCATAACTAAAATTCTAATTATCTCAGTTAATCTAGTCTTTTGTTCAACAATTACCCACTCAATAACATTTCCACTCAATAACAGTCTTTGTGCTTGGGTTTGAGGTACAAATATGAATAAAATGTAATTATTGTCTCAAAGGATATTATGGTTTAGTGAACTTTCAAAGATATTTCAAAATTCAGTTAAAATAATAAGATTAAGATTCTTTATGTAATCTGTAAAAAGACAAAGTACTCAAAGACATAATGAAATCTCAGCATTCTTCCAAACTTTTTTTTTCTATGTCTTTCAGAAGGCCCTTAAATTACTCTTTCCCACAAATAAAGAGAGGTTAGATTTAAAAAATAAGGTGAAATGCAATATATTAGATGCATATAAGTAAACTCTTAAGGGCATGGCAAAGAACTGATTTCCTGCTATGCAAAAAAGAGCACTGCCTAGTGAGCATGAACGCATCTCACAAAGAGCAATGCGAATGCATCAGTTGGTTTGTTTTAATGATTTCAAATGGAAAATTATGAGCTATGAGAAGACAGGAGTGCTGATATCTAAAATCATGGTGTATTTTATTAATTCTTTCACAGAAAAGGACCATTGATGCCCAAAGACAATGGAAGAGAAAAATTTTACCATGGTGAAGGAGTTCATCCTTTTAGGATTCACAACGGACTTGAAGTTACAGCGAGGACTTTTTCCCATCTTCCTTATCATTTATGTCATCAGTCTTCTAGGGAACATCACCCTGATTTCTCTGATCTGTTGTGATTCACGACTCCACACACCCATGTATTTCTTCATTGGGAACCTGTCATTCCTGGATCTCTGGTATTCCTCTGTGTATGCCCCCAAAATCCTAGTGACCTGCATATCTGAGGATAAAAGCATCTCCTTTGCTGGCTGCCTGGCTCAGTTCTTCTTCTCTGCTGGACTGGCATATAGTGAATGTTACCTATTAGCTGCCATGGCTTATGACCGCTATGTGGCCATCTCCAACCCTCTGCTCTATTCTCAGGCCATGTCCCCAAGGTTGTGTACCAGTCTTGTTGCAGCTTCATTTCTTGGTGGCTTTATTAACTCAACGATCATCACAAGTGAAACATTTACTCTGAGCTTCTGTGGTGACAATATCATTGATGATTTCTTCTGTGATCTTCCCCCACTTGTGAAGTTGGCATGTGATGTGAAGGAGAGTTACCAGGCTGTACTCTATTTCATACTTGCCTCCAATGTCATCACTCCCAGCGTACTCATTCTTGCCTCCTATCTCTTCATCATTGCTGCCATCTTGAAGATCCGCTCAGCCCAAGGGCGCCTCAAGGCCTTCTCCACTTGCGGCTCTCACCTGACCGCGGTCACCTTATACTATGGCTCGATTCTCTTCATTTACTCCCGGCCAAGCACTAGCTATGCCCTGGAACGTGATAAAGTGGTGTCAGTTTTCTATACTGTGGTGATTCCAATGTTAAATCCCCTGATCTATAGCTTAAGAAATAAAGATGTGAAAAATGCCCTGAAGAAAATGTTAGAAAGAGCAAAGTTTTCTTAAGTGAAAATACTTGGTAAGCAATAGTTGTTGTTTAACTGAATGTATCCATACCATTGTTATCAGGCTGCATGTATGCTAAGAAATAAACAGGTAAATTTACAAACATAAAATAACAGAGTAATGTACAAGACTCGTTTCACATTTGTCTTTTGAGTTATGTACTAATTCATTTCAATGTGTTTTAAAATAAATTGGGCTGTAGTTTTTCAAAAAACTGTGACTGCTAACTTAAAGAGACTATTAAACTGTTAGAATTTTGGGAAAGTTCATCAGAAAGCTGATTTTTTTTATTACCACTTGTAAATTCATAAATTGGCTGTATATTATATTTTAACCTATTAACAGAAACAATAACTACTGGTTATGGAATAGTTTTCCAATTTAGATGAGTTCAATAACTTGCATCAAATCATGTGGTTCATGAGAGAGAAAGGATGAATGTAAATCCAGATGCTCCAAAGATCCTACCCTATTTATTATGAGAGAGTGTGATGTTGTTGTTGTTGTTAAGTGCCGTCGAGTCGGTTCCGACCCATAGCGACCCTGTACAGGGTTTCCGAGGGTGTAAATCTTTACGGGAGTAGAAAGCCTCATCTTTCTCCCGCAGAGCGGCTGGTAGTTTCGAACCGCTGACCTTAAGGTCCGCAGCCCAAGTCGTAACCATTAAGAAAGATACCTAATGTAAAATGGTCCTAGAAACAAAGTTTTTAAAATTCTTTTTTCTTTCAGATTGTGATTCTTGATTTGCTATAATATAAAGATAACAGGTTTCATTGGCATTGTTGTTGTTAAGTGCTGTCAAGTCTGATTCATAGCAACCCTATATAGAGTCCCCAGGAATGGCTAATGGATTCATTCCAACCTTATAGTCCAGTGCTTTATTCTACAATGCCACAGCTGTTGACTTAGAGTCATTGTGAGCTTTGATGTAAATAATATCTTTTTCTTCAAGAATTAGAGACTCAAGAGCAAGGATATATAAGCTGTAGAAGAGAAGCAGATATAGAGATGGAACTACAAATAGAAAAAGAGATGGGACTTGAAAGACATATTCAAAAATGTGTTTATATATAAAGGTATCCATTGAGTAGAAATCTTTATTTTGGGTAGTGATTAATAATCATTAACTTAAAACCTAAACAAACTCTTGTCGTTAAATCGAATCTAATTCAAATCAATCACATAGGACAGTGTAGAATTGCCCCTTGGGATAGCCAAGACTGTAATATTTACTGAAGCAGATTGCTACAACTTTCTCACACAATGAGAACTGCTGACATTTTGTTTAGAAGATGAGCACTTTAGCCATGACAACACCAGGGTTCCTAATAACCATTGTTGTTATATGCTGTTGAGTGGTTCTGATTTATAGTGACCCAGTATACGATGGAGTTTTCAACTGCAGACCTTGTTATTAGCAGCCCATTGCTTATCCTACAGCACCACACCAGGACTCCTAATATTGATTAAGGTTATATAAATGCTTGTATTTTTTGCTTGTTCAGTTTTATGTATGGTAAATTTATAATTAAATCACAGAGAATAATTCCTTGTGATGCATAGATTTCTCTATTGTAGTGCTATTTTTACCTAGAAGACACATTGTAGTAATAGCATTAAAAGGTCCAGTTGTTGGTTTCCAGGAATGGATAATAGTTTGCTGAAGGGCCAGATAGGCAAGGGTAACCTGGAAAGAGGGAACAACACAAAAATTGTGGACCACATGATATATTCTAGAAATTCTAATTTGTACAGTTTGGAATAGAATTCTTTTATCAGATACATTTAGCATTGATGTTCTTTCTTAGATCATAAAGAAAAGAGTTAACTACTCATTTTTGGTAAAATATTCCTTATTTCATAAGATCCTAATTAATATATCATCCTGAAGCTCCAAGTAAGATCTAAATGAGTCTTTGGAGACTGAGGTAAATATTTCCGGGCTGCTGAGTGGAAGATGTCTCTAAGGACGCCTAAGGAAATGTACATATCGCATCTAGCTATGACGGGTCAAAGCAACACAGAGGGGCAAGAGGGACATTTCCAGGAATCGACCTTGCTACCAAAGGGTAAGCAATTGGGGTCAGGGACAGTTAAGTGGTTTGATTTGTCTGTAACCTCAGCTTAAACAGAAGGGGCTTACAGATTCTGCACTGGTCTTCATAGGATCCTTGAGGGTCAAATTTCTCTTTCTCTCTCTCTCACACACACACTCACACACGCCCTTTCTAAATAGGATTCCTTGCAGTGATATATATGGCCTCCTGTAGAATTGGAAGGCAGTCTGACTGTTACACTGGGGAGTCATTAGGATGACATATACCTCAGAAGAAAGACTGGTGTTCTACTCGTGAAAAATTATCCTTTGAAAACCCTATGGTTTTCACATGGGTCATCATGAGAAAGAAACCACTCTATAGCAACTGCTTTTTTTTTTTTTCCTAAATTAATTGTTAGGAACTGCTATTTGTCTGGAGATAAAGCAGTAAAGAAAATAGGCCCAAGTTTCTGCTCTTATGAATGTTGCATTCTGATGGGGGTAGAAATGGACAATGCATTTATAATAAACAGAAGTTGGAGGAAAACAGTAGGTATGGGGGAGATAAGAATAGGAAGATGAGGAGTATTGGGGACAGGGGTAAGGTGGGAATGGAATTTTAAATGAAATGATTGGAATGGACCTTGAAAATGACATTTGGAAGGGACTCAAATGAAAGGGGTGAGCCATGCACATATATGAAGCCCTGTTGTTCCAGGCAGTGGAGACAAACAGTTTAAAATCTCTGATGCTGGTTCATGCCTGGCATGCATATTTGAAAAACAGTGAAAGAGGCAGCAAAACCAGAGTATAGTGAGCCAGGGGTGGGAATTAGAGGAGATAAGGATGCATAAGTTATAAAGTTCTGGTCAAGGAGGACCTTTAGACTACTGTATGGACTTAAGTTTAACATACAGTGAAGTAGGAAGCTTATAAAGTAGGACGTATAGATGCAACATAGACTTAATTTTTTTCTCTTTTTAAAGGTTCATACTGGCTGCTGTATTGAAAATAGGTCATGTGGCATATGGTGTAGACTAGTCAGGAGGCAACTGTGAGAACCGTGGAAAGGATGTTGGAGGTTTGCACCAGGATAGTAGCATAGAATGTTCTGAAAAATATGTTTTGAAGGTAGGGACACCAGATTTCCAGGAAGGTTGAAGAGGAAGAGGTAGGGAAGAAAGAGTGGGATAACTAAAACTTTGTCTTGAGGAACTGGGAAAGTAGAGCTTTATAAACGGATACGAAGAAAAATGAACTGATAGATGAATCTTTGGAGGTGTAGGCTAAGAATTCAGTTTTAAATTTGCTAGGACTGATACAGGCATTATTCAAAAGATTTTTATAATTATAGAATGTTATCTGTAGCAAGAAATATAAACATTTTTCAGATGTAAAAATTTAAATAGAGAATTATAATAACATATAATGGATAGACTTAAGGAGGTTAGTGAATTCTCTAAAGTTCTGTATGAATATATATGTGTACTTACTGTTTTTTTTCTTCTGGTGGGTCGGGGAGAAGAAACACTGCTTTTTATCAAGTTCTCAAAGAGATCCAAGATTTGAAAAATTAAGAGCCGCTATTTACAAATTAAGAAATTTAGGAGAACAGATGCTAGAGAATACATATAATACCCAGTTTTGATTTTAAGTGAAATAAGAGTAAGAACACAAATCTTGAAGTGAAAATAGGAATACCATCTTAGTGCATGCTATCTCACTTCAGCCCAAAGTGCTATTTTCCTATATATCCTAAGATTGATGTGTGTAAAAGGACTCTTAGTAATCTGTACTGTGGAAGCTGAGGTCATCTAGTCTCATCTTTATGATGGATTCTCCCAGACAGGTGAACAATCAAAAGGTTGGCGCTGGAAAATGAAACAACCAAAGTGTTCATAGGATGAATGTTGTTTCCGAAAGGAGAAGTGAAACTCTTAAAATAATGCAGGTGATTATTGTTAGGGTGGGTCCCAATAATAGGATTCCCCAATTAAATTAATTTTGAACTTCTAAGTCTGCTATTCCTTTGTCAAATTGTGTAAGAATTTGTGACAAAATATTAAAATTCAGGATTTTAGGAACCCTAAGAATGGCACTGCTATCCTGGCTTATATTGATTCCCCTGAGACTTTTCCTTTATTTTTTTCTTCAAGTTGAGTTTTCATTACTGTCAGGCATTATTCCTCTTATTCAAGATAAAAATATCCTCCATTTGTTAACTATTTGATGTTAGACGTTAGGCTATGCATTTTACCTACATTTTCCAGAATCCTTTGTTTATCTTGTTTTCAAGTGCCGTCGAGTTGGTTTTGACTGATAGAAACCCTGCAAGGGGTTTCCAAGGAGTGACTGGTAAATTTTACCCACTAACCTAGTGGTCCAGTGCTTTATTGCACAGCGCCACACCGGGACTCAGTTTCTCTTATTACAATAGATATTTTAATTATCTGTTTTACATGTGAAAAAACAGGGGTAGAGTGGTTGTTAAGATACTTCCCAAGATTACAAAGCTACTAAGTGATTAAATTTCAATTATACAATGTTGTTTATGCCAGACCTATCTGCTCTTAGCTAAACTTGTTTAAGTCTATGGTCAGCTGTTAGGTCAGTTGGGGCTGAATGATCTGTTGTTGTTGTTAGGTGCCATTGAGTCAGTACCGACTCATAGCGATCCTATGCACAACAGAACAAAACACTGCCTGATCCTGGGCCAACCTCACAATTGTTTCCACACTTAAGTCCATTGATGCTGCCACTTTGCCAATCATATCACTGGGGGTCTTCCTCTTTTTTTCTGACCCTCCAACTTACCAAACATGCTATCCTTCTCCAGCGACTGATTCCTCCCGAAATATGTCTCAAGTATGAGATATGAAGTTTGACCATCCCAGCCTCCAAGGAGCACTCTGGCTGCACTTCTTCCAACACAGATCTGTTGATTCTTTTGGCAGTCCATGAATGATTTAGAATGGCCCAATTCGCATGTCTGGTGGTCAGGTTGATGTGAAAGGGTAGCCTTGATATAACCTGGGATGACAGAGAGAACCCTACCAGATGTCTCACTAACCAGCAAGTCAACCCAGGTGTGTTTACATGGTGGTTATTGTTATTCAGTGTTGTAGAGTCACTTCTGACTCATAGCAACCTTGTATAGGGTTTCTGAGGAGTGCCTGGTGAGTTTGAGCCAACGACCTTGCAGTTCAAGCTGACCTTGTGGTCCAGTGCTTATCTTACAGCACCACATCAGGATTCTGTTTACATGGTGGTAGCAGCATCAAAGCCTCCTAAGACCCAGGCTTAGACAAAATAAACCACAGATTCCCCAGATTCAAGGGATGAAAAATTAGAGTTCATTCTTAAAATTAAGTCTTGAAATAGATTTTGTTTTTTGTAATAATTAATGTCATGAATTGTAATACAGTTATATTGCAAACAGAAGTGAGAATGATGTTATAATATTGACTCTTCTAAAGTAATATTCTGGACTTATGGTGTGGTGTTGTAGGGTAAGCACTGGGCCGCAAACCACAAGGGCAGCAGTTTACACCCAACAGTTGCTCCTTAGAAACCCTACACGGGGTTACTATGAGTCAGAATGGACTCGATGACACTTAACAACAATAGAATGTTCTAGAGCTTTTATTTATTTATCATCTTTTTCTAGACTTTGTATTTTCTTGTGTAAAAATTATGGTGGTAATACATATTTTGAGAGAATTTTGTCTTTATGATTTCTCTAGCATTGAGTATAAATTATTTTATAAATATAAATTCCTGTTTGAAAAGCATATGCAACTGATAGTCATTGAGTACCGTCTGGTATTTCTACTCTTTCTATCTAGAAATCTATATCGCATCCCTTTTCTACCTTTAGTTTACAAGATTTGTCTCTGCAGGTGATAGATAGAAGTTGCTAGTTAACCCTCCTCCCCTTCAATATATTCTCAGATCTGCAGGCAGATCATACTACCTTCTCATAGTGATAGTGGCTTCCATTTTTGCTGGCTGACATATACTCCCAATAAACTTAGTGATTTGGAGATGCCTCTGATTCATGGGTCAACACCAGCTCCACCCATCTTTATTTAAATTTTCTTAGTTCCTTGAACTCAATAGTCTCTCTCACTTGCCAATGCTCAGGTTCCTGTGCTTTCTTCTTATGGACCTGCTGTACCTCTCTCCTTAATCCTAGAAGGGACTGCCACAATCTGGCTCAGTGATACCTTCTCTCTCTCTTTTGGTGGGGGGTAGAGGACCTCATATAAACATATCTTTTTCTTTTGAGTGATAAACTAGAAAATCCATTTACACAGTCGTTTACCTCTTAGGAGAGAAAATATTATATTAAGTATAGTAATTAGCTCTGTCAGACTCCTGGTGTGGCATTGTGGGTTAATGTGCCAGACTGCAAAGCCATTTGAATTGCAAGGTTGGCGGTTCAAGCTCACCAGCTGCTCCTCAGAAACCTTATATATGTGTCGGAACTGACTTGATGGCACTTCACAACAACAGTAACAATTAGCTCTCTCAAGAGTTTTCTATTTTAATCCAAATTTATATTATATCAAAAATGTGTGTACTAAGTCCCGGATATGTTTTCTTGTATAAGCAAGTGATAACATAGCAGAGAAAGTTCCAAATAATCTTTGTAATAGTTATGTATACACTAAAAAATTTTATATCTTAAAATATATGTCACATTCCATTTAAGGTAATATGGACTCAAGATTAAGTAGACTCAGAAAAAGCTATTAGAGTATACAAACGATGACAACAAAATGCTACATATCTGTTTGTGACAATCCTAGTGTGTATGAGATTATTATGAGGATATAGATCATGAGAGTACTGTGGTTTTGTTGAAGTCTTTACTGGATAAAGACAAGCAATAGGAGAGAAGGAAGGATGGCAAGGCAGATTAAAACTGATCTTTGGAGATGCTCAGATATAGAGCTAAAGCATCTGTCCTTTTTGTGTGAGTGAGTAGAGAACAATTATGCACTAACGAAAAATGAAATGGTTTTCAAGACTCTCTGTTATTTTTTTCTATAGTGTTATCAATCAAACCATGTCCTCTTTGAGCATCATCGCCTGTATCTGAAAAATTAGTACATCCATGCCTTATTTCCTAAAAAGCAGGAACTGTAGATCTTAAACTACAATACTTGTGTATATATTTTGCTGATTTGGGATTAGTCTAAAGGTAAATGCTTTCAACTCTGAAATAAATCACAATTCTCTCTTGATTTCAGCTGTCTCTCACTGTTATTAGAGATAGGGGGATGCAAACTGGCTACTGGGATATCAGCCCTAAATTGGTTCTGTATTTACAGGGATGCCTTAAGTAATATCTTCAATTATTTCTTACAATAGAGAAATCACTAAATGATTTTTTTCTCATAATCTGAATCAGACTTTAATCTCTGTGGACATGGAAGTGGGAAATCGCACCATCCTGCATGAATTTATTTTGGTGGGCTTCTCAGCAGACCCCCGGTTGCAGTTGATTCTATTTGGAGTATTTCTGATACTTTATTTGGTAACCTTGTCAGGGAACATGACCCTGGTTATCTTAATCCGGATTGATTCCCGTCTTCACACACCTATGTACTTTTTCATTGGCAGCTTGTCCTTCTTAGATTTCTGGTACACCTCTGTATATACCCCCAAAATCTTGGTTAATTGTGTCTCAGAAGATAAGCGTATTTCCTTGGCTGGATGCGGGGCCCAGCTCTTCTTTTCCTGTGTTGTAGCCTACACTGAATGCTACCTCCTAGCAGCCATGTCTTATGATCGCTATGTGGCAATTTGTAACCCCTTACTCTATTCAGGTATCATGTCCACTTCTCGCTGTACTGGGCTTGTTGCTGGCTCCTATGTTGGAGGATTTTTGAATGCCATAGCCCATACTGCCAACACATTCCGCCTAAGTTTCTGTGGTAAGAATATCATTGACCACTTCTTCTGTGATGCACCACCGCTGGTAAAAATGTCCTGTACTGACACAAAGGTCTATGAAAAAGTGCTCCTGGGTGTGGTGGGCTTCACGGTCCTTTCCAGCATTCTTGCCATATTGATTTCCTATTTCAACATCCTCGTGGCTATCCTGAAGATCCGCTCAGCCTCAGGAAGGCGAAAGGCCTTCTCCACCTGTGCTTCCCACGTTGTCTCAGTCATGCTCTTCTATGGATCTTTGCTCTTCATGTATTCAAGGCCCAGTTCCACCTACTCTCTAGAGAAAGACAAAGTTGCTGCCCTGTTCTACACAGTGGTGAACCCACTGCTCAACCCTCTCATCTACAGCGTGAGGAACAAAGATGTCAAAGAGGCTTTCAAGAAAGGAATACAGAGCATACGGCCACAACGATGAAAGGCATTATCATTTATCTTAATGAATGTACTTTCCAAATGACTGGCTTACAGTCATGTTTATCAACAACGCTCAATTAAATTCCACTAGTTAGCTTAGTGAAATACTAACTACTCTTTAATTATTATTATTATGTTCTTGTGATATAAAATATTTACAAATTTTAATATTGGGTTGTTTGATGTTCTGAAGATTTCTGTTTCCTTCTTTGTGATGTTAGGATTTAAAAAAAAAATTATTTTTTTTTTCTTTTTTGTGATGCCTTAGAATAAGAAAAAAAATGTATATTGGTGGATATTCTGTATATGGTTTGATTTTGAAGCTTGGCAAACAGAACTCTGTTGGGTTAAGAGAAGACGGGATGGGATGAGTTCTGGAAATTTCTCAAAATTTTACATACATTTATTTTTTATTAAATTGTTTTCTCCAAATTCCTTTATCAAGTTCTAACTGACTACACAGAACATATCTATGGAAACTTTTGCCTCATACATTAACAAAATACTTGGCTGAATGTTTAGGAGTTGTTAAGATGTTCTAAATCTGTGGAAAAAAGATGTCTCTTTGGAATTGTATGCTACCAAAAAAATAATTGCTTTTCTTGCCATTGCAGTGAATTATCTAATGTCTGTCCTATGCATAATCTGTAACACCCACCAAACAATGTTTCTTCCCTGCTGGGTCTGGGTTAGAGAAGGTGGGAGAAAATAGTGAGAGGAGGGCCTGATTCAACTGTGGATGTTAGCAGAGGTGATTGTAAATCCAGCATGGATTTAAAATGAACTATCTCAGAAGCAGGAGGTGGGAATCACACTACCACCCAAGAAGAGCAAGGAGTGGAGCTCATCTTTTGGACTCTAAGTTTTTGTGCATTGAACCTTCTCAACACAGGAACAGAAAATGGGGACACCAGAGGAGTGGTAGAAGAACAACAGCAGCAGAACCAAGAACCGGAGCATGAGTCAGAGCAGTGGACTTCCCAGCCCACAGAACAAGTGAAGCGGAGTGACTTTGTGTAGGAAGCTTGCTTGTAGAGTGGGGTGCCTTCAGGCACTTAAGTGGGTGAGCTAGGACTGCTGATTCACAGAGCTAGAGCTGAGTGTCTTCAGGTTGAGTCTTATAGTGGAATGCTTTGTCCTATGGCCATTTATCAGCAGCAGCGGACTGGAACAATTGTGCCCTGAGCATTTCTGACACTGATGTGTATCCTATTAACTTTCCTAAATAAACCCCAAACCTCAATATTGTCTCTGATTCTGTGTGGCCATTACAACAAATTATCAAAGTAGAGAGATCTGTGTGAGGACGCTGGTGCACTTTTCTTTGCACCCTCATAGTATTCTATTGTCCCTCATATTATACCACCCTATGACACCAAGTCTTAAGTGGAATGAAATGAAACAAATTGACAAATTTAAAAAACACACAAAAAGTCTTACTATATTCTAAACTCATTATTTATTTTTCTATCAGAAAATTTTAATTATGAAAGAAGTGCACAGCTCAATATTCAATACTCTCTAGAACATTGCAAGTTAAGAATTATTAGTTACAGTTTTAAAATGAAGAGTTTGAAGCTCATAAGTTAGATGTTTGATCCTGAAAGATTGTAACTATTGCTGAAACGAGCATCTCTACAAAATGCATCTAAGTTAAAAATTTAGGGCAAATGGTTACAGCCACTTCACCTTTTTGGTGCTACAGGATAATGCATTGGATCGCAGGTCAGTTTGAGTCACAAGGTCGGTGGTTCGAACGCACCAGCTGCTCCTCGGAAACCCTATACAAGATTGCTGAGTTGGAAATGACTCGTTGGCACTTAACAACAAGAACAGCGCACTTTTTATTAGTTCCATCATTTCTGTTATTTTCTTTCACCTGTATTTACTTTCTAATTGTCACTGCCCACTCTCTTTTCATCATAAAATCCTGAACATTCTATATTCTTCTATCACAAAAAAACTAGAGAATACTTGACTCAAAGGATTTGGGACATCTACCATAAACTTCAAAACTCCATAACAGTTTATTCAGATTCATATAATAACCATCATCCAAGGAAAAAAGAAAGTTAGCTCAATCGTAGGGGAGACACCCATGTAAAAATTAATTCTTTGGGATCTCAGAAGAAATATATACTCTTATTTGTTTTGCTTTAAACAAATATATATTGCTTTCTTAAAAATAAAACAACTCTATCGATATTAGATGGACTCTTCTTTATCTTACATTAAACCAAGATACTTAATAAAATATTGGTGTATGTTGTTGTTGTTGTTAGGTGCCATTGAATCGGTGCCAACCCATAGCAACCTTATGCACAACAGAAGGAAACACTGCCCGATCCTGGGCCAGCCTCACTACTGTTGCCAAGCTTGAGTCCATCAATGCTGCCACTTGGCCAATCCATCTCATTGGGAGTCTTCCACTTTTTTTCTGACTCTCAACCTTACCAAACATGATATCCTGCTCCAGTGACTGGTCCCTCCTGACAATATGTCCAAAGTATGAGAGATGAAGTTTGGCCATCTTGGCCTCCAAGAAGAACTCCAGTTGCACTTCTTCCAAA